TCTCTCTCTCTCTCTCTGGTTTTTCGAGACAGGGTTTCTCTGTGTAGCTTTATGCCTTTCCTGGATCTCGCTCTGTAGACCAGGCTGGCCTCGAACTCTCAAAGATCCACTTGCATTTGCCTCCCAAGTACTGGGATTAAAGGTGTGCACCACTGTCACCCGGCTTCATTTTTAATTAATTAAGACAGGGCTTCTAACTTGTTCCATTCCTGAGGATGATCTTGAACTTCTGATCCTCCAGTCTACCTCCAGAGTGCTGAGATTGTGGTCCTGTGCTACCACACCTGGTTTTATACATTGCCACATTTTTTTCTCTGGACACGCTAGGCAAATATTCAACAAGCCTATTGTCTTGATTCTTAGAGTATTATTTTTATCCTGTTGCCTTTATCAATTCTTTTCTACTTTGGGGCTAGGAAAATGTGCTTTTATGTCAGGATCTTATTCTTTTTGGATAATTGATAAGGGGAAGAGAACCATTTGTGTTTCTTGGTATTGGTATTTCATAAGTGAATTTTCAGGGAATGGGGAAAGAAAATAGGTTTTATTTTGATCAAATGTTGGCAGCAAAAATCATTGAAGACGAGAGTTCTCATTTCTACCTTGATGTAAACTACCTTTGTGAAGTGTAAGCCTCCTGAATTCTGAGACTATTTGATATGGAAAGTGGAAGTATAATGTAACCGTTCAAATGCTTTATAATTCTTCAAATGGATTCATTTCTGTCTCTCTTTTTATGAGCTAGTCCTCTGAAAAAATAATCTCCATCAGTAATTAATTAGACACAGAGCGGTAGTTAGGAGTCTGAGATTATTTAAATCGCATTTCTGCCATAGCTCACACAGATACTTGTCTGGCTTCTTAGATTAGAAGCAAAGTGCTAATTCATAGCTGAAGACATGGGAAGTAGAGGATAGTCCTAGGGGAAATGAGTTGTTTGCAATACCAAGACTTAGAAGCATTGTTCAGTATTTATTTATTTAGAGACAGGGTTTTACTATGTAACCTTTGCTAGCTTGGAACCTCTTCATTTATTATGTATAGTATCTGTTCTTTTAAAAATATCCTTACTGAATTTTAGGGGAGGGGTGAGAAGGCATGGATGTAGGCCCAGTGCTTTCTTTAGCAATGCTAGCCTTAAATAAGTTCACTTGAAATTGGTTTAAAAAGACTGGTTTTCTGGATCCACTAAACACCTATGCATTTTAGCTGTTTGGAAGTGGTTATAGTTCTAAAAGGGTCTCCGTAGTAGTTTTTATGTGAAGCTGGGCCTGCCAACCACTCTTGGGTTTCCACATGCAGGGCACCTGGCCGTGGCTAGTATTTACTTAGGAGCTGACAGCACAACCACACATACCACTTCAGCAAGTTCAAACAAAAGCTGGATGAACTTTAAGAAGCAGCAGTTCTGCTGGGCGGCGGTGGCACACACCTTTAATTCCAGCACTCGGGAGGCAGAGGCAGGCGGATCTCTGTGAGTTCGAGGCCAGCCTGGTCTCCAGAGCGAGATCTAGGACAGGCACCAAAACTACCCAGAGAAACACTGTCTTGAAAAAACAAAAAACTGTTAACAACAACAACAACAACAACAAATCAACAGTTTTAAAAACACTGGAAGGCTTTTGAAGTAGTGAAGACCAAATGAATTAAACTTCCAGGGATACAAGAGAAATTTGTAGGTGGGCTGATTATGGACACATGCTGGAGGAAAAAGATGAACCAGAAATGAACAGACTCTTACTAAAATTGTAGCGTATCCTTGGCCCACTTGAAACACTGATTGGATTGCAACGATCACCCTTCTCACTCATTTTGCTTAATCAAAGTAGAGATTCTCACTGACTAGGAAGATGTATTCTAGAGTTTTAAGGTTCTTTTATTTGCAATATCCAGAGTATGACAGTTTCTAGAGACATAAAAAGGTGGGAAAATGGTCTACACTCAAGAAGCAAAGTAAACTGTAGAAGCAGATTCAGAAAGTTGGCAGCAGACAAAGACTTACCATCACCACCAAAAAAAAAAAAAAAAAACCAAAAAAAAAAAAAAAAAACCACCCAATTTGTAATGTGGGGCTGGAGAGATGGCTCAACAGTTGCTGTTCTAGAGGACCTGAATTTGGTTCTCAGGACCCATATTGGGCAGCACACAGCTGCCTGTAACTCTGATTCCAGGTGATCTAATGCCGTCTTCTGGCCTCAAAGACACCCCCTACACTTGTACACACACACACATACACACACACACACACACACACACACACACACACACACACACACACTGAATTTTTAAGACAAAACAAGACAGAAAACATGTAATTTGCTTAAGAAAATAGGGGAAAAGGCCAGTATGATGACTGAGAATATCTCTGAGGAATTGGAATCCATAGAAGGGAATGAAATAGATGATTTAGGAATAAATAACAGTTACTAATCGCTTAAGGTCTTTCATTTATTTAATTACAAACTTAGGCCCAGGTCTCTAGGACTTGCTGTACTCTTCATTGCTGTTTGTTCACGCATTTGTATTCTTTTCCTCCCCCTTCCTCTGCCTTCCTCCATCGTCATCATCATCGTCATCGTCATCGTCGTTGTTGGAAAATGGTTCACTTGAGCACATACTATTTAAGATACTTGAGATCATAGTCTCTGTCTGTTTTGTTCACTGCTGTATCAATGATGAGTGATAGGAGGATCCCTGGTGTTCTCTGGCTAGCCAGTCTAGCTTAATCACGTATCTCCAGGTCCTAGTGAGAGACCCTGTCTCAAAAAACAAGGTGGGAGCTATGGAAGATAGATAAGTGACTCAGTGGGCATGAGCAGTTCCTTTGCAAGCATGAGGATTAGAGTTTGGAGCCCAGCACTGACATCAAAAAGGCCAGGGTGCCACATATATGCCTGTAACCCCAGCACAATAGGCGTCTGGAGACAGGAGGATTGTTAGGTGTAACTTTTTTCTGCTGCTGCCTGATTCAGTACCCTTGACTATCATTTTGGACCATCTGGTGTGGAAATCCAAACCTTTATCAGAGGAGAATATGAATCTGTCGTGGGCGTCTGCTGCATGTGTGTGTGTGGTCGTGCATGCATGCATTTGTGTGTGTGTGCGCGCGCGCGCGCGCGTGCGTGAGCGTGCTCTCGCATGTAGTGTTTTGCATTAAATTTTACTCTTACACATAAGAGTTTAGAAACATTTCATAGATAGGGGTTACAGTCTTCTTTGTTCCCTTTCCATGGCAGCAATACTTTATCTCCTTGATTACAGGTTGACTTATCCCATTTAATGGAGTGACCTTTGACTTGATATAGTGCAGTGATTCTCAACCAGGGGTAGTTTTGTCTCCCAGGGGATATTTGACAGTGTTTGGAGATATTTTTAATAGGTATAGCTTTGGGAAGGTGATGCTCATGGCATTTTGTGGGTAGAGATCAGGGATCTGACCTGGATGTTGCTAAGCATCCTATGATGCTTGGAGAGGGGGGAGTGAAGGTTGGCCCTTATCTGGTCAAAAATGTCAGTAATGCTGAGGATGAGGAGCCTGGTTTAGTGGCTTGGAGGCAGTAATCACAAAGCAGTTTCATCTTCTTTCAGTGGATCCTGGCGGAATTGTTTCTTCCTCGGGAATCAGAGCATCTAAAGAAGATGTCAAAGTTGGAAGTATTGGAAGCAAAACTGCCAGTAGGGTTTTAAAGGATACTGAGAGGAACTACTTCTGTTCTTTATTTTTCAGTTTTATGTACTCTGGCTATGGAGAAAACAGTATTTGATTCAAAGAGTAAGTGCATTCTTTTAGATAGGAGCATCAACCTTGAGGAATTGCTTTCTTAACTAGCACTTTCTACTAGAACATCTGCTTTTGGGTGATGGACCATGGGGTGAGACCATGCAATATAAGGTCCAGAGTCCATTTCCATTCCTTCTCTTAGGAAACGAGTTCTTTATTCAGATGCACTTTTTTTGTTGTTGTTTTGTTTTTTTCCAGATAGGGTTTTTCTCTATAGCCCTGGCTGTCCTGGTACTTGCTTTGTAGATCAGGCTGGCCTGGAACTCACAGCGATCCACCTGCCTCTGCCTGCCGTATATTGGGATTAAAGGCAAGCGCCGCTGCCACCACCTATCTCAGAAGCACTGTTAGCAGTGTATCTTGTCATAAAAATGTGTCATCTGAGTCCTTTGATGGTGCAGGCAGAAGCATTTCAGGAAGAAATGCAAATCTGTCTAGAACATGTTTATATGAGCATATGTGCTAGCTCTGTGTGTGTATATACATATAATTTATTGTCTCTTTAAAAGCATGTTACTATCTACTATTATTAGCAGTTAACTATCGTCAGTGTTTTGTGAACATTTTATTTTTTAATTAAGTGGGAGGCGGGGGAGCAAGACCTGGCATGGTGCCCTCACCCATAGTCTCAGTACTCGAGATGCTGAGCAGGAAGAGTCTAAATTCTGGCCAGCTTGGACTGCATAGTAAAACCCTGTCTCAAAAAGAGAAAGAAAAACACAATAGTTAATAATTGTCTGACCAAGAAGTTTCTTATAAATTACAGACTTTAAAAAAAAAAGTTAAATTACCCTTTGAGCAACATAGAGCAGCAGGCTTTCCTAATTCTTTCTACTTGTTAACCCTTTTGACCAGAGAAAACTTTACACAGTCCAGTAATATAAGTACATAAAATAGGTACATAGATGAAATACTTATTCCTAATAAATACAAAGAAATTTATTTTAAAAACAATTCTTTGACGTAAATGTGATTTTGCTATTTATGTAAAATGAATGCAAATATGTATACTAGTGCAATGGATGTGATTATTTTTGCATAAAAGTAAACCTTGTAGTATTTGATACTGTAGGACACAGAGTATCTTTATTGTATTTCAGAGTTGATTGATATTTTGATTTATAATTGTCATGTTGAGAATGCTGGTTTGTATAAACACATATGTAATCCAAAATTACAGAAATATGCTTAGTGGCATTTCAGAAATGGTTGGAAATTCTTTCCTAGTTCCACACTAAAAACTTTGTGTATGTTTTTTGGGGTGGGGGGGCCCAGCAGCGGCGCAGCAGTGCTAATGCTAGCAGCTCAGAGAGTGGTTAGAGGTCAGTGCCAGGTGTTGGCCTCAGTTGTTCTTAGCCTTGCTCTTTGAGATAGGATCTCCCACTTAAATTTGTAGTTTGTCATTTTTTTTTTTTTTTTTTTTTTTTTTTTTTTTTTTTTTTTTTTTTTTTTTTTTTTTTTTTTTTTGTTTTTCGAGACAGGGTTTCTCTGTGTAGCTTTGCGCCTTTCCTGGAGCTCACTTGGTAGCCCAGGCTGGCCTCGAACTCACAGAGATCCGCCTGGCTCTGCCTCCCGAGTGCTGGGATTAAAGGCGTGCGCCACCACCGCCCGGCCGTAGTTTGTCATTTTGAGTAGGCTGGCTGGCCAGTAAGCCTCAGTGATCCACCTGTTTCCCCCCTTCGATGCTGAGGTTTCAGATGTGTGCTGTGGATGCTGGGATAGAACTCTGATCCTCATGTTTTCATGGCAAGTGCTTTACCGTAGACGGACCCAGCCCTAACCTCCTAATTGAAGAATTAAGTTTTGAAGTAAGGCATTCTTAACACAATTCAATCTAAAGATATACTGATTTGATACTTGCATGCTGAGGGGTTATGGTAGAAAACATGGCAAGTCATTATTTCCATAATTAAAACATTGTGTTTCTATAAGAGCAGAAAATTTGTATGGATAATGAAAAGACTACACTCCGTGCACAGTAATGCAGACCTGATCCAAGGTGTTGTGAGTGTGTTACAGTGGCATGGGCAGTTCAAGCACACATTGTTGTGTTTCCAAGGCTGCAGTGAAGTTCGGTGGTGCAACAGGAGAGTGCTGCCAACTCATCTTTGGTTGTTGCACCTGAGAAAGTTTTCCCTGTTGTCGGAGTTTTCAGGACCCTGTGACTCATAGTTTAAGAAGTAGCTGGGAGCTACAGTAAGTGTAAGCTAGTGTGTTTTGAATTATATATAATTTTTACCCATACAAATTGATCATTATTGGCCGGGTGGTGGCGGCGCATACCTTTAATCCCAGCACTTGGGAGGCAGAGGCAGGAGGATCTCTGAGTTCGAGGCCAGCCTGGACTACAGAGTGAGATCCAGGAAAAGGCGCAAAGCTACACGGAGAAACCCTGCATCGAAACCCCCCAAAAAAACCAGACAAAAAACAAAAAACATGGGGCTGGAGAGATGGCTCAGAGGTTAAGAGCACTGACTGCTCTTCCAAAGGTCCTGAGTTCAATTCCCAGCAACCACATGGTGGCTCACAACCATCTGCAATGAGATCTGGTGCCCTCTTCTGGCCTGCAGTCATACATGCTGTATACATAATAAATAAATCTTAAAAAAAAAACAAAAACAAAAACAAAAACAAACAACCCCCCTAAACCCTTTCTCATAGCATACCAAATTTAAAAATTTTTGTATTTATTTATTTTATATGTGTGAGTTTTTAGCCTGCATGTGTGTCACCATGTTTGTGTGTACTTGGTGAATGCAAAGGTCAGGAGAGGACACTGGATCCCCTGGAACTGGAGTTACAGACAGTTAAGAGCTGCCATGTGGGTGATGGGAATTGAACCCAGGTCTTCTGCAAGAACAGAAGGTGCTCTTAACAGCTGAGGCATCTTTCCAGCAGCCCCTAGTCTACCAAATTTCATCAGACTTTTTTTTTCTTTTTTACCAGGCCCGGTAATTTTCAATTGTAGCGTTATGTATATGTTTCAGAAGAATAATATAGGTAATTGGGCTAAGAGCATCTACCTAGCCAGAACCTGTCTAGCCTGCCTGCTAAAGCATAGTGAGAATCTGGAAAGACTTGGAACTGAATAACTTAAAACTGTAAAGTTCTTCTCTTCAAAGACCTATTAAAACATCATAACCACTTATAAAAACCTTATTGCTTATTAGGGGTAGGAAATTTTATTTTTAGAACTCCAAAACCGTTTTTGGCTAATTATCTTCTCTATTAAAAATATTCCAGAAAGGCGAAGATTTGCTTTCCCCCAACTGTTGTCTATGGTCCGTGTACATAGAGGAGACTCAGCATTACTGAATGCGTTTATGAAGTACGATTTTCTGTGCTCTCCAAGAGAACTCTGGCATATGACAAGTCTTATCAGATTACCTATAGCTCTTCATTTTTAAAAGTTTATCTTTTTATTTACTTTTGTATGTGTGGGGGAGGTGAGCACATGTGCCACAGCATGTTAGTGGAGGTCAGAAGGCAGCTGTGGGTTGGGTTTTTGCTCCCACCATGTTTCCTTGGGGACAAACTCAGGTTCTCAGACTTGCGCATTAGCACCTTTGTCCACTGGACTAGCTTGCTGGCTCTTCTTCCCCATTCTCATCTTATTCTAACCAAATCATCATCAATACAATTATTTGGCTTTTTAAGAAGTAAATAAAAGTTTATATCAATACTTGTAGATTAGAGTTTGGTTGAATTCTAGAAAAATTATGCCTTTCAGATATGGTACATGTAGCCTGGAGATGGTGATGTGTGCACATCTTTAATCCTAGCACTCAGAGGCAGAGGCAGGTGGATCTCTGTGAGTTGAAGGCTAGCCTGGTCCAGGACAGCCAGGGCTACACAGAGAAACCCTGTCTTGAGAAAACAAACTGACAAATAAATAATAAATATGGTCCATGTATTAAGTAATAGGAGCTTGTTTTTACTAGGTCAAACTAAGTCAAAACAATTTGATCCAGTATTTTATGGTTTTAATCTATATGTTGTATCATGAATAAATGTTTCTAAATGCAGTTTGGGACCTAGAATTTGAGAGGACTTTTTATTTTCTTGAAATAATCACAAAATATAGTAAATTCTCAAAAAATGTCACTGGACATAAAATAGAGAGGTTTCAACTACAGTTCAGATGTTGGAAACTTTTTCTGGGAATGATTTATTTTGATTTTCTTATCTTACAGAAATCACTCTAGTCTGAAGAATGCCCTATTAATCCTGCAGACACAGCACAATTCTAGCTGAGATGGTTTGGAACAGGCAGTTGACTGTTGAATTGAAATTTCGAGTTTGACCTTATTGTGCATGTGACAGCGACTCATTGAAAAGCTTTAAATATGAATGGTATGGTCACAAGTTTTCAAAAGCTCCTTTATGATTCTCCTGGAGATGGATTTGAGGGGACAGTGCTAAAGACAATGAGAATAAGAAATTGTTGTAATGAGACTGAAGCTCTGAAGTAGGGAATTGATCATAGGAATTTAGGGGGCCTGAATGTGAGATTTGTATAGGAGATGATATTAGAGGGCTTGAGCTAGATGATTAAATAAGGACAGGAAGAAACTAAAGGGAGTAAGTTAGTTGAGAATAGGAGAAGTTGTGGATAGTGGGGCTCTTTTTTTTTAAGTTCTGCTGATGCGTGTTCATATATATGCAGGTGTGCACATGTGTGTAGAGAGCAGAGGTCAACCTAAGGTACCATTCTTCAGGAACTATTCATCTTTTAAAATTCCTGTTTATTTTTTGATAATTTTATACCTGAACCCCTCTCCCCAATCCTCTCTCACCTTCATGTCCCCTCTCTCTCTCTCCCTTCCTTTCTTTTAAGTAACCCACTGAGTCCAGTTAGTGATGCTGGTATACATATTGGTATAGGACCATATATTGGCATAGACAACTTATCATGGACCATACTTCAGAAGAAAACTCTCCCTCCCTGTCTTGTTTGTTGTGATTTTTTGTTTTGTTTTGTTGTTTGTTTTTGTCAACTTGACACAAGCTAGAGAGTTAGCTGGAAAGAAGACCCTCAGTTGAGAAGATACCTCCCTTGGATTGCCTCTAGGCAAGCCTGCTTAACAATTGATATGGGAGGGGCCAGCCCAGTTTGATTGGTGCCAGCACTGGGCAGGTGGTTCTGAATTGTATAAGAAAGCAGATTGAGCAAGCCGTAAGAGACAAGCAAGAAAGCAGCGTTCCTCTGTGGTTTTTGCTTCAGTTCTTGCCATCAGGTTTCTGCTTTGAGTTCCTGCCCTGACCCCTCAAGTGATGGAGTGTGACTTGAGAGTTGTAAGATGAAATCAACTCTTCCTGAAGTTGCTTTTGGTCATGGTATTTTATCATAGCAATAGAAACCTAATTAAGACTTGCTTTTTTTTCCAACAGTGTCTCTCACTGGGACCCGGGACTGGAAGATTAGGATAGGCTACTAGCCAGTACGCGGCTGGGGTCTGTCTGTTTCCACCTTCCCAATGCTAGGATGCAAGTATCCCCCTTTGGCTAGATACCCCTCCCTCTTTGATTGTGGTGTTGGAGATGGAACTCAGAACCTGTTTATGCTAGGCAAGTGTTCTCCCATTAAACCACATCCTCAGCCTTCAGCATCTTCATAAGGAGTCTTGAACAGTACATTGTTTTATTTGGCTTGACTATATGTTGACAAATTCTCAATTTCACTCTTCTGCCTTCAATTGTTAAATTGTTTGCTTATGGTCTAGAGCATGATTCTCAACCTGTGGCAAACCTTTATCTCCAAAAATATTTACATTACAATTCATAACAGTAAAATTATAGTTATGAGGTAGCAACAAAAATAATTTTATGGTTGGGGTGGCATCACCACAACATGAGGTCACAAGCATTAGGAAGGTTGAGAACCACTGGTCTAGAGGAACATTTCCTTCTCTATAATTTCATTTGTTGGTTAGTTTTCAGGTAAATTAAATTAAATTAGTTTTCAGGATGAATGTATTATGTAAAACACATGTTTTTTGAGCAGGGATGTAGCTTAGTGTTAGAGTGAAAGGGCCAGGGTTTGATTTTGCTCTTGCAATGCAAAAATGTGTGTTTTGTTATTTCCACCAATCAATTTCTCTCTCTCTCTCTTTCTCATTTGGTTTCTTTTTTATGTTTTGGTTCTGAGGCATGGTCTTGTAGCTCAAGCTGACCTTGAATTGACACATATCTGGGGATTATTTTGACTCCTGATCCTTCTACCTTCACCTCTAAATGGTAGGAGACAGGCATGTGCTGTAGAAACAGTGTATCTTCCCAGTGAGAAATAACTCTGTACACAGAGAAATTAATCAAGGAAAAGCTCTTTAATAGCACTTGTCCACCTCTGCTCAGAGAGGAGCCAATCTCAAATAGAAGATTTTTACTAACTTATGTACACATTAGGCTTATATATTCCACATACTTGTCATCCTTAAATCCCTTCTAGGACCCAACCCCAGGTTATACCTTTGAACAATTTAAACACAGGCAGGATCCTGCAAGTCTGGCCACTTGTGCAGATGGAGGATTTACACAGCATTGTCAGATTTAGAAGTACACCAGTGTTGTTCTTTTCAAATAGTTGTTACCCAGAGTCAGCTTGCCCACCTGGCAGAATGAATGTTTTTTTCTGTTAGGAGCACAGGGGACTGACTCAGTGGCAAACTGGGCAGACTAGCTATGACCGTGCCCTTCCCCCTTGAACTGCCCTTAGAGCCATGTTCTTTGTATGGGCGTGGCCTAATGGCTGCTTCTAAGTCAGACTTGTCTCCTTTGGCTGTGGAACCTCATTGGAGGTCAGTCTTTTTTTTTTTTCCCCCGAGACAGGGTTTCTCTGTGTAGCTTTACACCTTTCCTGGAACTCTGTAGGTCAGGCTGGCCTCAAACTCACAGAGATCCTTCTGCCTCTGCCTCCCGAGTGTTGGGATTAAAGACGTGCAATACCACCGCCTGGCTTTTTTTTTTTTTAATTAAGAGATTTTCTATTCATTTTACATACCAACCACAGATTCCCCTGTCCTCCCTCCTCCCTCCTTGGAGATCAGTCTTGATGAATAAACATTAGCAGGAACTTTCTTAGCAGCCCCAAACTTGGGTTATGGTACAGTTTTCTTTCTCACAGTTTCTAATGAGTCTGGTGAGTATATGCATGTCCCAGTCATACTGGAGGTGGCAGTCCTTTAGCTAAATTCTTTGTTGTGTAACTTAATATTACTAGTTGTTTTTTTTTTCTTTTCAAAACAGTATTTCTCTGTGTAGCCCAGGCTGTCTTAGAACTCGCTCTGTAGATCAGACTAGCCTCAAACTCTGAGATCTGCCTGCCTCTACCTCTTAAAGGTGAGGCCACAGTGCCTGGTATAGTAAATATTTTATAGTCAGTTTGTCCATTTTACTACAAGTTTCTCATGTACACTCAGAACATGGCGGGGGGGGGGGGGAGAAGGAGAGAGAGGGAGAGAGAGAGAGAGAGAGAGAGAGAGAGAGAGAGAGAGAATATGAATGAGAGAATCTTTTTAATGGATGCAGGACACACAGGCTCCTAACTTGTAAATCCACCTGCCTCAGTTCCTTCCATTGACCCCAGCTCTAACCACCCTACCCCCCCAAACTCCTCATTGACTATAGTGGGATTATTTGGCATGATGATGTTAAAGGTAGACTAGTGTGGTAGTGTGAATGTAATTGGCCCCCATAAGTTTATAGTGAGTGGCACTATTCGGAGGTGTGGCCTTGTTGAAGTAGGTGTGGCCTTGTTGGAGGTAGTGTGTTACTGTGGAGGTGGGCTTGGAGGTTTCATGTGCTAAAGCCACGCCCAGTGTCTTGGACCAGTCAGCTCCTTCTCCAGCACCATGTCTTCCTACACACTTCCATGTCCTACTATGGTAATGATGACTGAACCTCTGAAACTGTAAGCCACCCAATGAAATATTTTCTTTATGAGAGTTGCCGTGGTCTGTTCACAGCAATAGAAACCCTAACTAGACAGCTAGTTAAAACCAGATTGATATCTCAGTGTGAAGTGGAAAGGGCTTCTAGACTTAGGCCTGGAAGTTAAACCTGGCTCTACTCTCCATGATTATTCCAAGTTTATTTTAATCTGATTCTTGCTCTTTTATGAATGAAGTTCTCTTTTATTCAGCCTGATAAATATCATGGCCATTAGGACACTACTAAATAGTTCCAGCTTCTTGTTTGAATCAAGTTGTAAACTTTGCATAGTGGCAGGTGCTTAAACTGTTATAAATGCCATGTGACAGCTAGCACATAGCATCTCTGTTAGTCAAAACCTATTTTCTCAACTACTGTCAAGGTCAAACCTAGGTGAGGATCTTTACTGTTGCTTTTCTGTAGTTTTAATTTATTACAATTGATAAATTGTGAACTCTGCTATTGTATTTTGTTGTATCTTAAAATTTTGAATCCCACTTGTGCACAGCATCATTCTCAGTGTTTGCATTCCTCTGGTGTTTACCCTAATGTTGGCAACTTGTATTCTCAATTTATCTCTTCTTTATTTTGCTCTGGTGTGTGTAAATCTTAAAACACTTGAACTCCACTTGCCCTAGTTACTTGTGCCTCTTGGTAATATGCTGTTTCTTTTTCTCTGGAAAATGTGATTTCTGCTTTTGTACCATCAATGTTTTTCATTGTCTCTTCCTCATTGAATCAGACTTCTCTGTCTGCTGGTGTATTGGAGAAATTATTTTGGCCACTCCACGTAGTTAAAAGGATATTTATTTAATGGCGTAACTCACAAATTAAGTGAAAGGTAGGTCGCAGGGTCTGGGGAAGGTGTATCGCAGTCCAGCGGTGTTCTCCGGAGCTCTGCACAGTTCAGCGTCCCGGCACATAGAGAGCGCACAGCGAGCGCGCTAGCCCATCCAGCTCTCGGGTCTCCAGGCGCCTCCCCTCGCCCCGCCTCGTAGGCGTGACAGTTGCCAGAGTCTCAATGGGGGTTGGAACTTCCAGGTCCAAGCTGGAATGGCTACCCACTACACTGGTGTCCCACCTCAATCCCCAGTTCCTTAGTTGGAATTCCCCTCAGGGATGGGCATATTCCTAGTGTCTGTATTCACAAATGTCTATTGTACCTTTCTTCTTAGCAGACATTTCCATGGAATATACAGTTCTTGGATAATGGTAATTTTCTCTCAGGACAGGGACTTTGTCCTCTGCCTCTGGCTTCCTTTGCATTTGGCAAAAGCTTAGGTGCCAGCTGGGTGTTGGTGATGCACAACTTTAACCCCAGCACTCAGGAGGCAGAGGCAGGCAGATCTCTTTGAGTTGGAGGCTAGCCTGGACTACAGAGCGAGTTCCAGGACAATCAAGGCTATACAGAGAAACCATGTCTC